TCTTTAAATGAGAGGATCCCAAAGAGACCTAGGGGAAGGAAATGATTTTATATCATATTCTAGCAACAAGACCCCATGCTGACATCTCGAAAGGGTGGCAATTAATGCCAATGATTTTGGACTTGTCTATATTTATTCTGACCTTGATATAAGTTCATAAAGCTTTATTAACGGATCATCCCAAAGTCCACCAAACCTTGAAGGATTTTGTGCTTCTTCCACCAAGGTAAAGAGAAAGGGGTAAAGATCTCCTTGATGCAAGCCCCTAGTGGATTGAAAATAACCATTCGCCTTACCATTGACCAAAAGGGAGAAGTGGGTAGTTGAAAGACACCCAAAAATCCATTTGCACCAAATAACACCAAAACCCATCAGCTCCATAATTTTATCGAGAAAATCCCATTCCATTATGTCGTAAGATTTTTCAAAGTCAAGCTTCAGAAGAATCCCTTTCATGCCCATGGACTCAGTCGATCTCTTGAGCCAACAAAGTACCATCTATGATAAACCTATCTTTGATGGAAGTCGTTTGAGGGCCCTCCACCACCTCATTGAGGACCAGTAGTAGATGATTAGCTAACATTGTAGCTAGGATTTTATATAGTGCCAATAGCAAGCTAATTGCCTTATATCTTGAAGGAATTGAATAGATTTCTTCTTGGGAATGAGAGATATGAAAGTAAAGTTAATAGCGCTACTAACAAAACCATCCAAGTAAAACTGGTGTAGCCAGTCCAAGATGTCAGCTTTCATAATATCCCAAAATTCTTGAAAGAAGGCCAAAGGAAAGCTGTCAAGACCAGGCGTTTTATCCCTAGGAAGATTAAAAACATCATTTTTAGCCTCCTTAATCATAAAACCACATTCAATACTTGCAACCGAACTAGGGGACAATGTCTTAAAAGGCACATGCGAAATATCAAAAAGCATTATATGTTCCGACGAGAAGGCTGAACGAAAATGGTTCACAATAGCGTCTTCCACAACAAGGGGTTTTCCTTGTCAATACCAAGGATCGATAAATCACTAATGCAGTTAGATCGATGTCAGGAGTTGGCAATGGTATAGAAATACTTGATATTCATATCACCATGTTTGACCCATTTGGATCTAGATCTTTGAAATAAAAGATCTCTCCCATACTAAGCAGGTCATCCAGATCAGCTTTCTTCCTTTCTCTCTCAATTTTCTGGTCTAAATTAAAGGCAGCATCAGCCTGTTCCAAAGAATTGAGAGAGAGAATATACCTTTCAGGTGAGTTAATCTTACTAGCTAGATCTCTGACGTTACTTCTACCCCAATCTTTAAGTTTAAGCTTGAGCCCCTTAAGTTTATTGGTAAGAACAAAATCATGCCATTTAGAGACCAGGATGGACTCCCTAGTGCTTCTCACCACATCAGCTAAGGATTTATCCTCCAACCACATAAGCTCAAAACGAAATAGGGTAGGACCAGAGACCACCCCAGAGGCATCCAAGAGGATAGGGGCATGATCTGAGGCAAGCTGAGAGGCAACCTTAACCATGGATTTGAAGAAATAATTTTGCTAACCTTCCGTAATCAGAAAACAGTCCAGCTTGGACATTTTTTGGTCTGTGGAGGAATTTTTTGATCAAGTAAACTTGGTACCCACCACCTCGTAATTGAAAAGACCATGAGAGGTCATAGAAGCATAGAAAAAAAGCATTTAAGGGTTAATAGTAGAACAAGTAGAAACTTCATGTGGACCCCTTGCTAGGTTGAAATCACCGGCACCACACCAAGGGGTTCCACACGAGGTGATAATGCTCGAAATAGAGTTTAAAAACTCTTCTTTCTCCCCAATTACATTCGATCCATAAACATTAAATATGCACCATACAAAGCCATCAGAATCAGTAAAGGAGACAAAAATGTCACGAAGGGATAAATAAAACAAAAGAAAGAGGGCTTCTGAAGAGGTGACGAGAAGCAACAAAAACAGTCTATAGGGCGAGAGCCCGAAAAAGATCTAAGGAGAGACAAATCAAAAAAAGTGAGCTTGGTTTCTTGCAAAACAAAAATGTTAAGCCTACATCTATGAATAAGTTGGCGCAGTACCCTTCTCCTTCTAACACTTCCAAGCCCACACACATTTCAAGACATGATGATCATTGAGGACGAAAACCCTTCCCCCTCCTCGTGGCACCCGTGGCGCCAGGCGTAAGTGGGTTGAACCTCAGTCCAGCAGCAAGATCCGCAACCTCCTTCTAAAGACGACTCCTCCGACTCCTGGGGTGCGGGGCAGGGATGTCCTCTGGGGTGATAGTCTCTTCCATGAGCCTGATCTCTCCTTTGAAGGTGACCTTCATCTCTTCCAAGAGCTTGGCAGCACGTTCCCTAGCAGCTCCCTCTTGTAAGCCTTGATAGACCAGTTGCTAGCATCCTAAGGCAGATCTTCTTCGGAGGAGTCCAATGACTTAAGTGACCAAGAGGGGAGGAGCCTTAGGAACTTCAGGAATCTTGGCCAAAATAAACCTTTATCCCTGTGTTTTTGAGTGGCCCTCATGGAAGGCTCCTTAAAAGTTAGCCTACCCCAAGTTCGACTATGCTTCCAATTGGATAAGGACATAGCCAAGGCATTTTCAGGGGCATTTGGCGGGCCAGATAACACTCTCTCTTTCTTGGACAATCTCCATAATAGTAATAAGGGAAGCCATAAAAAGAACTGAATCAAAGGAAATGCTCCTTCTTACCAAGAGAAACACAGAGAAACAAGACAACAAAACCCACAAAAGTAGAAGGGGCCCTAAATCAAGGAAAAGGCAAGGCAATGTAGGGGATTGAAATGGCACTAGTTGCAAATCCTTGCTGAAAAGCGAGGGGGAGGGTTTAGAAGGTACATTTTCGAGGCTAAGCACCCTTCCATGAATCACTCCAATAGCCTTAGTTCCTCAACAGATGGCAACCTCCGCAGGGGATTAGCACAATCAGACCGACATGCAGTTAGGAATATCAACCAAGTCCTATTTAGGCTCACAACTTATGAATTATGATGGATCAGGAAAGGGTCTGGGTTAGTAATTGAGCAAGTTAGATTTGGATTTAACTCATCGGCCTGGCCCGTATCTCACAAGAAATAGGGTCAGTTTGACCTGGTGACTCGGCGCATGGATCGTCTTACATCCATGTTTGAATCCATGGCCTAGACTTGGCAGATCAAGCCTGAGTCAAACATATCTTATTCTGTCTGGAATTCAGATAAAGCAGATTTAACATCCAAGACAGATTGGCCTTTGAATTAACCAGCTAGTCTTCGATTTAATCCTAACACAACCCAAAACTAGACCCAAACCATTACATCCCTACACCTACTTTAGAAATTTTAAACTGCAAGCAGCATGCTCAACAATGACATTGAAAAATGAAGAAACATCTTGCCCGTGTCTAAAGCTGGTTTATTCTAGCATTGGGTTGCTACGTCGGATACGATATCATAAACAAGGTTGAGATTAAGGACACTTTTCTTCTTCATTATGGTGAACGGTGAGACTATTCATCTTTATTACGAGTTCAAAATTACACATAGCCATTAGATATCAAATTGGATGGCTTGGAGTGTCTCACAAGTTCGATAAATCCTTTTTTAATTTTGAGTGAAATTAATGACATTCTTACAACTATCCCATTTGAAATCTAAAGGACAAAAGTGATTGAGACCTCCTTGTGCTAAAAGTAAATGACCTCTTTGTATACTATTGCTTTCTTCATTGGGCATTTTTCAAGGTTTCACAGAGAAAAAACCACAAGAAGCTCTAAGATTTGTTCAAATATTCTAACTATCGTCTAAATTATGTGAGAAAATGAACTAAGTTTGAGAAAGTCATGCCATTGAGATTTAATGCGAATTGTTATGATACCAATCATAATACTAACAACGGATCTCGATTGACCCTAAACTCTCGAAGTATTGTGTGACTTTGTATTTCACCAGTGTTTCAAAACCCATAAATGGTTTTTGAATTGGTTCAGGTATATTGATCTCGACCAACATAATTACGGGATATCAATTGGTCGAATCAGCCAGATCAGCCAAATTGAAGAAAAATATAAAAAAAATGAAAGGGTGGAAACCGGGCAACTCCATGGCCATAGACTAGGATCACCCACCCATCCATCAACTTGGGTCAACCCGGGCGATTCTGGTTCAATCCAACATCACCCAGTTCGACCCGGCATCACCTGATTCAACCCAGCATTTCTCACAACATTGATATTTATTTGCCCAACTCTTACATGCTTGGATGTAGCACGAGCGGGGATCTTTTAAAAGGATCTAGGTGAACCAACATGCACCCCTCATTCCACAGAGATTAGGTTGAGACTGTGCAGCTTGTCCTTCATGAAAATGAAATTCATACTCCCAAATCAATGTTTTCTCAAGGCAACTGCCATAAACAATAACCCTTATCTGGATCATGGGATTGGTAACCGTGCAAGTCTCATTCAAATACAAAATAGGCATTATGCCTAGAGGAATGATGTTCCATCACATTTCATTGAAGGTTTCTTGTTATTGTGTTTTCACTGTTGGGAGTCTTAATCCTCTCCTAACTTTTGTACATCTCTCTGCAAATTCCTCTTAACGAGTTGCAACCAAGTTTCCCATTAGACCTCCACTAAGTTCATAGTGCTTAGCCTCAGAAAATCCCACATCCTTCGCTAATTCTTCCAGTTCTTTTCCTGCAACCACCCTCAAAAGTTATCAGAATCAAATGGTGGAAATATGTTATAAAGAGCTAAAACTAAATCATCTGAAATTCCGCCATGCAAGACATCCAACTAAAACATAATAAAGAAATACTGTAGTGCATGTGTTTCTGGAGACACACAGATAGAGAGATTATATCAAAGGTACAGATATAGACATGCATACCTGTAGCAAATTCTGCAATGGAATGTTTCAAGTAAGAATATTCTTTCTCAAGACCAAGCTGATTTGCAATTGGAACAACCACATTATCCAATGTCCATACCTAGGAAATAAATCAGAATGCATCAAATTAGTAAAGCGATTTTTTGCTGATGAAAAGAATGAAAAATTCAAGTTTAAGGGTGTGTCCAGATGCTGCCGCAGAATGTGTGCCATGCACTTTTTGGGCGGCTTTTCCTAGGTCTTTCCCAGATTATATCATTTTAGGAGAGGATACACAAGAAACGGTGCCGCTTCATGTGTCAAAAAATCAGAAAATACCAACTTTAACCTTATATGCAAACGAGTGGTTTTTGTTGGAACTCAAAACGGATACTGACAGTGACATGCAACAACCAAACAAGTGGTAAAATGGTTGTTTAATGTGAACCATTGATAAAAGGTACCACAAAGTGGAAGCAAATCTACACAAACTTACATCAACATAGAGTAAAGAGATGTATTTTTAACCACCTTTTTCTTTCCCTCAAAAACAATATAGAGGTAAAAAGATATACTTTCTCATTTTCTCCCCATTTCAATGGAGTAAAGAAATAATTTTGTCCCCTAAGTAGCTAAGCAAAGAAAATGACATTGCTTTTTCCATAAAATAAAAGAAAGATAGAAATAGTAATGATAAGAGAAACAAGAACAAAAACAATAACACAAAAATTTGACTAAAAAAAAGAGCAAAATAGAGCATTTTTAGGATAGCATCTAAAAGAAATCGAAAAAAGAGAATATTCAAATTGAAGGAGAACAAGCTTAGTATGGCACCAAAAAATAGTAATGTTTTCTCCTTTCCTTTTTCCCACATTTCACAAAATTGAAACCAATTGAACCCACCTGTCAGACAAGACCAATATGGACAACCTAGGAGTATTCACATTAGTATTACCCTATAACACTAGAAATACAAGTTTTTTCCGTTTCACTTATTTCCGTCTAGGCCATAATTTGTGGAATTTTCCACATGATAGGGATTCAAAAAGGGACAGAGACAAATAACTGGCAGGAAACTTCCCACACAAATAAGGTAAAGAAATTGTCAGATTACCATTTAGTGACCCATAAAAAATAGGGCCTAAAATGACAAAATCAACAATGATAAAACAACACCTACATCCATTATAGCACTGAACAATGGGGATCATTCTTGTTTTCGGTAGATATCAGAATCTACAAAGAATAATAAGAATAATAAAAAGGACATGAAGGCTTCAAACAGCACCAAAAAAACTTTTTCACAATAAATTCATGCACAAGTCCACTCTACAAAATACTTTCACAATATAGCTCATGCCCCACTTACCATCTAAAGCTCAAGGGCAAACTGGTTGTCAACTCCATCAATGGGCTGTAACGCTAATCATATCAAAGTATCATTTATGGCATTCAATCATTTACATATGGTCTCTAGTCGTCTCTACATATTCACACATAACTATCTTCTTGGACTGAAGAGGACTTCTCTTGTTCATATTTAAGTATTAATTATGGCAAACATGAATTATATATGGTCTCTAGTTGTTTCTACATAATCACACATAACAATCTTCTTAGACTGAAAGAGGACTTCTCTTGCTCAGATGCTAGGGGAATTTGGTTTGTGATCACCATATGACGCCCAAGGTTCCTGATCAACAGTTGAACCAGGTTGATCTCCCAAAGAATGTAATCACCTGCCAAATGAAAGGGCCTCCTCATCCATTAGGTGACAATAATGCTCCAACGTGGTCCAAAAAGGTCTGTTTTTAGACTGATGACCAGTCTTCAAGAAAAGTTAAGAATAAAATAAGCAATTAGTCCCCACCCATATCCAGTATTTTGGTTTCTTGATGTGTTTTATATTTTTCATTCCAACATTGGTCAGTTTCTCTATAGTTGTTTTCCATCTTTGCCTGTTTCTCTTTTTATGACACTGTTGCAACACACATTTTTTCTTTGTTGTTTTTAATCTTATGCTTCTAATTCAATTTTATCATAATTTATCTTTTTCTTGAATTGGTAATATTTTATTAACAGCCTCCTTTATTTTGGTTCAATACAGGCATGAGCAATAGCACAGTGATGAATTAAAGATAGTCATCAAGTCAAGTAGTAATTATTAAACCTGGAACAATGTAATGAATGGTTGTTCGCTCTTGTTGAAGTCCAAAATAGAAACTCTTGAATCTGAAAGCAATGGATTAAATCAATTAAATTATAAAGAAAACAACAGAAAATTTGCATGAAAACATGAGCATGGCAAAATAACTAAAAAATCAAGTTATTTCACAGGCATCCCAAACAAGGTTTCCTCCTCTTTTACAATAAGTAGTTTACCCACCTGCTTTCCATTTTGCACTCTTTAGTGAGACAACAATTTAGTTCTATTATTCTTCCTTCAGTGAAATTATTGTAGTTTTAACTTTATTTAGAAAAGGAATCATTGACACAAATGAAGATAAATTTAGTTTAAAAAATGCCAAGAAGCTGGATGGTAGGTTTGAGGGAATAGATGGGTCAAATGCATAGGTGTGGATTCGGACCCAAAAGATTGTGAAATTGAAAAAGGAAATTGCTAGGTTAAAAAACAATATTAACAAGAAAGAGAAGATAAACACAAAAAGCCAATGGAAGAAGAGTTGGGAGGATAAATGTTTCCAGCCAAGGTATCCATGACACTAAGTTATGTTAAGACCACAGATCAAGACCTAGCGATATCAAGTTTCTGGTAAACATTATGTTCTTTTGAAAGCTACAAGAAAGTGTTGAGCACCCTATGTTTTGTGCACTAGTGTGTCTATGATTCAAAGTTGTAGCTTAGTAGAATGGAAGTCTGTATCTACAAAACTTTGTAGCTAATCCAACTTCCATGCTTACCGCTTTATGGTCCAACCTCATTTCCTATTAGTATGGAACTCTTCATCTCAACTCTCATTAATGGATTTGATTTCCAGGCTTACCAGCCTACAAATACCATATGTCATGGAGGAAAGGGGAAGATATTTTTACTAGAAGTATATGTATGGTGAGGGGTTTAGAGAGTGATGGAACCAATCCCAGCTCCCCACATGATACTTAGTGACTCACTTAAAAATACCTTTCGGATTTTCTTTGGTTTTTTCTAACTTCTCTTCCTCTATATAGGAATAAAAAAGGATGGAAAAGGTCAAAGGTAACACAAAACATTTCCACAGATAGTGTGGGAAGAGCCAAAAACCCTTTTTAGCTGGGAAATTGACACGAAAAAAAAACCATGTTAAAAAATAAACAAATAAAAAGATGTCAAATAGAGGGCAAATTGGTTACGATAAACATTAAGAAATTTGATCACTTGAATGGGTTTGGAGCATTTATCAAACATCACATTATTCTGGCCAAGCACGAAAAGTTTCAGTTGTTTTAACCATTTTAATTTTCAATAAACAAACTTTCTAGCATTCACCCAAATAAAAAAATAAAAAAAAATTTCTTTCATTACCCTGAAAGAGAATTAAGGGGGAAAAAAAATTAGGACGGAAAACCTTTCTTTAGAACTCTATGAATATCCATCAGCGCTTTACGCCTATCAACCAGATTGCGCAACCCAAAACCAACTGTCACTGCATCAAAAGACCTGTCTTCAAATGGGAGATCAAGAGCATCGCCTTCAAACCATCTGCTAACAAGTGAGAAAGAATATGAAGTAAACATCTAGGATTACATTTATCATAATTTCTGGAAAAAGAATTGTGATACAATATTATATTCATTTTACTTTAAATACATTTTACTCTCACACGATGTTGTTATAACAGGCCTTCAATGATTGTTGTTGGCGAGCAAACGCAATGGACAACTGCTCTCTAGAGAAATCAAGGCCAGTCACCTGCAAATTTTAGTTCAATTCAAGAGGAATGAATTTGTTGCCCTCACCCCCCCCCCACACACACAGACATAAGCACTACCTCAACACTGATATCCTTGCTATTTAACTAAACTATAAGAGTACCAAGGCTCCTCATGCTACATAAAAGCATAAGAGCCCTCATTCTTTCCTCACATCTAGATACAAAAGAAATGCAGAAAATAACAGGGAAATATGATGAAGAGTTTAAACAAAAATGTGTCCCCCACAAGATAGAATGAGGTACTTGAATGACCGAGGAATCACAATGCTAAAAGAGTAAGAATGACACATTTAGAGAAGGTATCAAGCTTTAGTTGCATGGATCTTTTATTTAGGGCACCAATCATCCTATTCTGAACATGTGAACCAACACCTGGTCTGGAACCTTGTCTCCTAGTTGCTTCGCCCTAACCCTACTAAATTTTGATGCTCCCCATTCCCGCTTACATTTCCACTCCAGCTATGTGCATTTCTGGTTCTAGCCCATAAAGTCCATCATTTTAGAAAAGTGGAAAAATGTCAATAATAGCATATTTCCTTTGTCTGTATTCCGTAAGAAACTGCATGCATAGATTTCTCCTCACAGAATTACATAAATATATTTACAGACATTGGCTGACTATTGTTCTTTTAACAAAGGCAGAATGTTAATTTTCTCGTGATCTATAACATCTATTTTTATGGTTGGTGGGAACTACTGTAAAGTTGGAATATCAACTGATATATAAATGATTCAGTAATATTTTGAATTTTGAAAACTAGAGCAAAGGTTACGTAGACTCCGGTTCAACTGTCAGTCCAACAGGTTAGGCCAGTTGAATGAAAATCATTTTCTCGTTAACCCACTTCAAATTTGTTCGAGATACGGTTGACCAATAAATTCAACCTAATTGTCACCAGAAACCAGCTTTCCAGATTAGAGTTCAAGGGTCAAGTGGACAAGAAGATAGTGGCAGGAGCAATCCTTCGACGCACAGCTGACTTTGTTGAGCCACAATTTTGAACTCATTCGTGACAATTATGGTACCTAAATATTAGATGGATCAAATGAATCCATCCAACACAGTTATGCTGAATTTGTTTTGGCTGATTTGCAAAAACAAAGAGGTTTAATGAGAAAATACCGAAGTGTGTAAATCAGGTCTTTGGGGTTGTTCAGATATTTTCTTTTATTACTAGAGGAGATACTCAATAGGGAGGATTCCTGGTGGATTTTATGAAAGGAAACATGTAATAATCCCCATAAATCCTTGCTTGGATGCTCTGAAGTGTGGTGTGGTATTTGTGATGGTCGTTTGTTGGCTTTTTCTAACTCTAGTCTTGGTGGATTAGTGGGGATGACATCTTGGTTTCTTTCTTGTCTAATAAATGGTTAGAGGCTGCACCTTTAGCCACTAGACATCCTAGGCACATAAGGGAAGTGTTCATCTTGATGCCCTTAAGCTTCCCAAGTGGAAAGTGTCTCTAATAGGCCTCTTCTTTGGCCTACAGGATTCCTTGGATACGTTGGGAAAGATCATGCTTCCCTGCTTCCCTATGCCAGATAGGTTAACTTGGGAACAAGAGAAATGTGTGATTTTCTCTTTCCAATAGGATGGGGTGCTTGTCCATGAGCAGGATGTTCATCCGCAATCTGGACTGGATGAGTTTAGCTGGCCTCTCTATATTGCATATGCCCCATGATTTGAGACCATTGATCATCTTTATGCTAAATATGGATAAAAATTTGCAAGAGGTAATAAACCTTGTGTGGTATAATATTTACGAAGATCCTCACAACAAATATCGTTCCAACTCTCTATATACATTAAGATTTCACTCAAGGTAATTGTGAATTTGTATTTCCCATCTTTCATATATTACTCTCTCTTTCATTTCTCGTGGCTATTATTTTTTCTTCCGCGATACTATTCCAAATCTTTCATATTATCTCCCTAGTACCCATTGAATGTATGGCAATGATTTTTTTCGGTTATTTCTTGTCATGTGATCCAAATCAGAGTGAAGAGAGAGACTCCCCCAAGCATGTTCAGCTTCTCGATATGGAACTTCTTTTGGGACCAATTGGTTGAAAGACTTCGCATGTCTTAATCAACTATGGCTCTGGAGTTGAATCTCCACATAAGTTCTTTCCAAATCTCTGCAACAAAGGCACATGTCATGAATCAGTGGTTGTGGTCTTCGATGTTGACCTTGCTCTAGGAAACATCTATTGCACTTATGAAATTCCCATTTTTGCACTCCATTGGTGGTTGGAAGCCTTTTTGGATAAGCTATCCATGCAAATCACAAGGCCCTCAAGTTAGTTTATCCCATATGGCCTTGAGAGTTTTATTTTTGCCCAAACTTTCTAGTAAGTTCATAGGCACTTTTTGATGTGACTTCCCCAATCCCATAGTCATTAAGCACCATAAGAGTCTAAACTCTTTTGGTGAAGCCATGAAAGACATATTTGTTACATATTTTGTCTTTACTATCTGGGATGATTGGCATAAATGCACAAAATATATCCTAAAAAGGTTAATCTAATGGCTTTAAAGAATCTTCTCCCCTGATTCCGAATAAAGGTGGGCACTTCAGAAATTTCCTCCTTGCCATCCAATGGCTTAAGATCCTATGATGGGCCTTGTTAGTCTCTCCTAGCTCCCATTCTTTTGACTAGTCTCTTTTCTTTCATAATGTCTTTGATTTCACACTGTTCTACGAGTGGTCACATTGCAAATTATTTAATAAATAACATAAGTTCTTGAGGCTATACAAAATACATAACTCAGAAACATTACCTCCTAGTTAACTTTGCAACAATATAAAAAAAAAAAAGCCATATAATTTTGATGAAACTTTCTTCTTGATTGAAAAAAACAAAAAGGATCTTTACATGATAGAGTCTTCACAAGTTCGTGATTTGACAAATATATAAGAACTCACAGGCAATTTGATATGAAACCCCGAGATCTAAAGGCAACAATAAAAACATGTGATTCGAAACTTGGGTAGTAGGGCTTAAACACGCCCGAGTTACCAGCACCCCGACAGGTTGCCAGGTTCAGTTCCTCAACCAGGAGACTAAACCAAGGCTCACAGGGTTACTGAACGTTCTTTGTTATTTTCAAAGACTTGGCTGAGTCTGATATCTGACTCAGGCAAGTTGGACTGTTCACTTGGGATGGAGATGGAACTGAGTTCCAGCACAAGTCCGAGTTTTAACTCACTGATAGAAACTGTGATTTAAGGTATAGTTCCTGTCCCTGCCATCAATTCAAGAAGGTAGGGAACAAGAGAATGAGTCATTCTCCCAAAAGTTCCATTTCAAATGTAGGAGTTTAGTATGTTACATTCAAGATGCCATTAACTATAGCACTACATGACCCTCTAGTTTCATACTATATCACACTCGAGTTGTGATCATGCGGCAAAACCCATTCAGATCACAATTCATTGAAAATGATTACTATATAACAACAGTCACTTATACATACAATTTATGGATGTGTTAACCCTTCTGAAAATTTCTGAAATTGTGTTAATATTCATATAAAATCGAGGAGCCACAATTATTCATGAAGAGATGTCCCCATTTACACAAGCATAAAATCAAAGAAGAAACAAACGCTTTTGACTCCAAATATAAATGGATACTTCTTTGAAAGAAATAAAAAAAATTATAAATGTATCAATTACAAACACTTCCAAAAAGAAGAGAACTTTACTGTGGTAGGGTCACCACTAAACTACATGACCATCCTAAAAGCATTAAGGGCAGTATCTCGATCAAGTTGCGTATTCTGTTGAGGTAAAATAAGCTTGAGCAACCTTTCCAATTTCCTCCCATTAAAAACAGGTCGTAAATAATCATCAAGTCTCACAAGCAACCAAACTCCAAACCATTTTAACAGATTACAAAGTCAAGTCGTACTTTCCTAACAAATAGTTTGAAGAAAAAAATAGCCATCCAGTCTTTAAAATGGCCTTTTGTTTAATTGGGACTCTTCAAAGTAGTTGTTTCCAACATGATAACAAAGAATATTTCAGTTCTATTGAGCCTAATCGGAACGGATATGCAGGAACTTGTCATACATAGGAAAGGTAAAGCAAGTATCAAATCTCATTCTCGTACTTCAAATTCATAAACAAAGGGCACAACATTTCGGATTCTGGTTGATTGGGATGCCAAATTATAAAAACCATGAAATAAACGCGTCCATTCTAAGTCCAAAGGCCGCCACAATTTAGAAAATGTTTTGCCAAAACCTGTCACGATTTCATGCTTCGAATTATAATGCTATTATATTTCAACCCTTTTCGATAATTACATATAATTGTCACCAGTTTTTGATAAATTATAGCCAAATTTAAATCTAATGCATAGCTAGCTCCTATGTGTTCCCTGAAAATTGAGGAATTTTCACCAACTCCCCCACATAAAAAATCATCATATTTCCCATTTTCAATAATAATAATAATAATAATAATAATAATAATACTGAAAATTAACTTAACTTGCATATTAACAAAAAAAAAAATTATTAGGAACCTATCTAATAAGGTATTAGCGCCATCTAGTAGCACTCTAAGAATAAAAAATAAAGAAGAAATTATGATTGATAATATAGAAAATCAAATTCAAAACTGGAATATACCAAAAGTCCCTGTAACTGACGTTTATAAGAAAGGAACTTTTGAATTAATAATAGGTTAAGCTATAAAAACTGTTGAACAGAGTTTATCTGTTCATAGCAAACAAGAAAATTTCCAATTGCTATCAGAAAAAATAATTCAATCTCATATCAAGAAAGAATATAAATATCTGCATATAGGACTAATACAGATAACTATAAAACCACTTACAAGGCTAGGGTTAAACAATTCTATACTTCTATGTCTAAGAGATAATAGGCATAATCAATTTTCGATTCACTGTTAGGAATTGGAGAATCAAGTTTTTGTAGTGGACCGGTCTATTTCAACTGCTTTCCCAACTATTCAGTATCTTTAAGTGATCCTAATATTCTTAAAGTATTAACTCTTAATTTGAAAACCCAAGGATTCGATATGAACCCAGGATCTCAGAATTTAGCCTTAATATATAGAATTTGTTATAAAGTTATGAATACTCTAAACCCAAACGTATTACATATTGATACTAAAGGAAAAACAGTATTTTTTCAGACCAATATAGAAAAGTCAAATACTATTATACCAAAATCCATAAATTGGTCCCAAGTGGTATTACCTAAAACATGGTCTATTCAAAATGAGAATCAGAAATATAGAATTCCTATTAATAAAAACCCTGAGCAGATTATAGAACATCCTGACGGACAAATAGAATTAAGATTTAGTAATAACAGAAGAACAAATATAAAAAATACTAAAGATGATATAACTGTAAGACCAAATAAGAGGAATATTATACCACCTAGAAATTCTACTTCTTCAATAAAAGAACCCATAATTCAAGGATTAATACGAACTAGAAGTAATATTCATATACCTGAATATAAACCCATTCAAACTAGTTCTCCAAATAATCAGCCTTTCTCTGACTTAGACTTCGATGTATTAACCCTACAAATATTGGAAAAGGTAGATTATGAATTTTTAAGAAACGATTACTTAGCAGATCATAATACTGAAATCAGGAACTGGTACTTAAAAGAATTCCCACAAAATTTAATAGATATAATTTATAGAAAATACAAAAGATTTCTAAAGAAAAATAAGCAAACTATAAGGTTCTTTGATTGGTTAATTGAAACCCTCAAAGAAAAGGACGTAATAATCCCCGACTTCAAAATAAATACTTTAGAATCCCAATACCAGGTATTCTCTACAAGTGAAGGAGAAAATATTACTAGTATTCATCCCCCAGAGAAAGCTTTGCTAATAAAAGGAATCTCTAAAGAAAAATCTGAAACCAGAGCAACACCTTACAAAATAGCACCCAGTGAACATGCGCATAAAATAGAATTACTACCAAACATACTAGAACAAAATAATTATACCAATCTTTGTTTAAAATCCATAGGAAAGCAAACAACTAGGATAGAAAATATGATAAGACACCCTCAAGAGAAAATAGAAGAGAAAAAGAATGCAGTCTTTTTTAAACCCCCTCCTGAAATAAACAAGAACAGATTTACATTAAAAGATAAATCAGAAAATACAGAGTTAATAGACCAGTTAGTTTCAAAATTATCCCAGTTAGAAATAAAAGACAAAAAAGGAAAAGGAATTCCTCTAGAATCAGAAGCCTTGACTCTTCAAGAAGAAGAAAAACCAATAATTAATAATACCATAGAGAACATGGAAGATGCTTTAATAGAAACCCTGAATCTTAATAGAATAGTCTATGGTAAGAGATAGGTACCTACTGCCCCGGCCAGAATGGTACTATACAAGGCTTACTCTAGTAGACATACAATTTGAAGAGGACCTTATATCCCATACAATATCATATTCTAGTAGAACTATAGTTAATTGGAATATTGATGGTATGTCCGACCATCAAATATTGGATACTATGAAGCACATGACTATGTATGCTTCAGCATGTAAAATAGCAGGAAATCATGATCAGGAAGTAGCCAAAGCCATTGTCTGTGGATTTACAGGATGGTTTAGAGGCTGGTGGGACTTTCATATGGATGAAGTCTCAAAAAATCAAATACTTAATGCTACAAGGCAATGGATCGTTAAAAATGAACAAAATCAAGACATACCTTATAGCGAAAGTGACGCTGTTAATACGCTCATATATACTATAACTCTACACTTTGTAGGAAGTACTTCACTTCTAAATGCTAGATCCGAAGATCTGCTGTCAAACTTAAGATGTCCTACATTATCACACTATAAGTGGTACAAAGGTATATTTTTCTCTCGATTACTCACTCGAGAAGATAGTAGTGCCGACCATTGGAAGGAAAAATTCATAGCTAGCCTGCCACACTTGTTTGCAGAAAAAGTTCGTACCCGCCTCAAAAATAAAAATGGGGGGATCATACCATATTCTTCTTATACCCCTAGGAGAACTTTCTGCTGAAATTTGTGCAGAAGGGCTTGCCCTATGTACAGATTTAAAACTCAAAAGACAATTAGATAAACATAAAATGACAGGGAATAAGGAATTAGGAGACTTTTGCGAGCAATTTGGATACAGTATTAATACTTCCCCAAATAAAAAAAGAAAAATATATAAAAAACCCAAAGGAGAGCATAAAAATAAAGGGAAAAGAACTCAAAAAGAAAAGTTTATTAAAAAATTCTCCCCTAAAAATAAAAAGATAAAAAGAAAATTATCAGTTTGTTATAAATGTGGTAAAATAGGTCACTACAAAAATAACTGTAAAGTTAAAAAGCAAATCAACGCTATCATATTAGATAAAGAATTAAGAAATCAGATATATAATATTATTCAGATAAGAGAAGACTCGTCTGAGTCATCCTCGACAGACGATACTGAGCTTATAGCTCAAATAAATAGTGATGAAAATCTAATATGGAGTAGTTCAGAAAGTAGTTCAGATGACAGTACTAGTACTAATGAACGCATGAAAGAATGTTTTTGTAACACCCTTACTAATGAAGAAAATTTAATATTAGATTTAATAGATAAAATATCTGATCCTGATGAAAAAAGAGAAATAATATCTCAGTACATAAAAATAGCTAAGTCTAAAAATAAGCCTACTCCTTTAGTAAAAACACCAGAAGATTATAGTTTTTCAGAGATACTTAAGAGAATAAATAAAAGAGTAACCGGTCAAAGAGAACCTACTATACCAGAAATAAAACAAGAGATCAATGAGGTAAAAGCAGAAGTTAGACAACTCAAAAATAGAATTAGAATATTAGAACTCAATACAGAATTCTCTGAAAATTTTTTCAGAAGAAGATGAATTAGAATTTGATAAATTAATAAAGACAAATAAACCCCTTATAATCAGTGAAAAACCTGAATCTTCTGAAACGATAGAAAATAATGCTTTAAATCTTATAAATAAAGTCATTACGCAAAAATGGTTTACATTAGTAAAAATTATTGTAAACGATGACTACAATTTTCAATCTTTAGCTTTAATTGATTCAAGCGCAGACTTAAACTGTATCAATGAAGGATTAGTTCCTAGCAAATACTTTGATAAAACCACTCAAATACTTAATACAGCTGATGGCAGTAGACTTATTATTAACTATAAATTGTCCAAAGCTGGTGTTTGTAACAATGGACATTGTTTTCCAACCCCTTTCATCATGGTTAAAGGATTAAGTCAGTCAATAATCTTAGGAACACCATTTCTAGGTCTACTTTATCCTTTAACAATAGACAATACTGGAATAGAATCAAATATAGTTGGACAAACAGTTAAATTTGAATTTATTAATAAACCAAAAATAAAAGAGATTAATAATATGAAACAAAAAATAGAAAATAAAGAAAAAATTTTATGTTCTTTAAAAATAGAGGTTAAATATGAACTAATAGAAGAACAGTTAGTACTTCCAGAAAATAAACAAAAAATTGAAAATCTTTGAAGCCAGATAGAAAAAGAAGTTTGTAATGATTTGCCTAATGCTTTTTGGAAAAGGAAAAAACATATGGTTAGCCTACCATATGAAGAATGATTTAATGAAAGTAAAATACCTACCAAGGCAAGGCCTAGTCAAATGAATGCCAAACTTCTCGAAATCTGTAAAAAAGAAATAGATGAATTTTTAAATAAAGGATTAATCAGAAAAAGTGCATCGCCATGGAGCTGCGCTGCATTCTATGTAAATAACGCAGCCGAAATGAACGAGGAGTTCCAAGACTTGTAATTAATTATAAGCCTTTAAATAAAGTTCTTAAATGGATAAGGTATCCTATACCAAATAAAAAAGACCTACTAGACAGATTAGTGAATGCATGTATTTTTTCTAAGTTTGACTTAAAATCCGGATATTGGCAAATCCAGATTAATGAAAAAGATAAATATAAAACAGCTTTTAATGTGCCTTTTGACCAATATGAATAGAATGTTATGCCCTTTGGACTAAAAAATGCCCCATCAGAATTCCAAAAAATAATGAATGAGGTTTTTAACTCATATATTAAATTTATGCTTGTCTATATTGATGATGTGTTAATTTTTTCAGAAGATCTGCAACAGCACTTCAAGCACCTTAATACTTTCCTAAAAGCCATCAAGAATGCAGGTTTGGTAGTATCTGCTAGAAAAATAAATTTATGCCTTCTTGGCCATAATATTCATCAAGGAACTATAGTTCCCATTGATAGAGCGATTCAATTCGCTGATAAATTTCTTGATATAATTCTAAATAAAACTGAATTACAAAGATGTTTAGGATGTTTAAACTATATTGCCGATATCTATAAAGAGTTAGCACTTGATGCCAAACCTTTATATGATAGATTACGGAAAAATCCTCCTAAATGGACAGAGGAACATACATTGGCAGTCCAAAAACTGAAAAGCAAAGCAAAAGAATAACCTTGCTTGGCTTTATCAGATCCGAATGCCTTTAAAATAATTGAATGCGATGCCTCCGAACTTGGGTTAGCAGGAATCTTAAAACAAAAAATCAATAATCAAGAACAATTAGTTCGTTTTACTTCTAAGGCTTGGAACAATACTCAGCAAAACTATTCAACAGTCAAAAATCCTTGCAATAGTTCATTGTGTAACCAAGTTCCAAAGTGATATTCTTAATACCACATTTTTAATTCGGACCGATTGTAAAGCAGCTCGTGATGTTCTTCTTAAAGATGTTCAAAACCTTGTCTCCAAACAAATCTTTGCCCGCAGGCAAGCTATTCTCTCTTCTTTCATAACAATAACAATAATAACAACAATAACAACAATAACAACAATAATAACAATAATAACAATAATAATAATAATAATAACAATAATAATAAAAGAAGCAAATTTGCAAAATTTGAATCAAAATCGAAGCAAAAAAACACACCTTTCCTGAAACTCCAACTTTCTCAGACAAAAGAAACGTGAGATCTCCACTTCCACAGCACAAATCAAGAACATAATCTCCATCCTTCGCTCTGTAGCCATCAGAAAGCCGAAAAAAAACCAACCCTAATGTAGCTCTCTTAAAGGAAAACAAGAAATTAATTACTAAACTGAAAACGCAAACAAAAAGAATGATGAACTATTCTTTCTAAAAACAAAATACTTGCGGTGTGCATATATACCCGCTCCATGAGACTGCCATCCGCTTCCATACACGATGTTGCCCTAGACTAAACAAGTCGTTCAACTGTTAACATAAATTACGCAGCTTTTAAGTTCAAACACAAGCGATTGATGCCATTGAAAGCTCTCTCTCTCTCTCTGAACATTAATCGTTCAAAGACTGAAAGACTATATTATGTGTAGTACATTATCGTAGGACGGAGCAATTCGGTTGAAAAGCTCTTTTCTTTGCGATGGTTGGGAGGCCCAGTATTCGCCGGATATTGGCCGGAATTTACAGGAAAGTGGAGGGAGGCGCCCAGGAAAGGGTGGGGCAAGGTGAAGAAGCGCCATAAGTTGGCGGAGGAGGGAGAAGAAGTGAGATAAGAAAGCGAAGGAAACCCCAAGTGATAGTATACTCCCTCGGAAGTAGACTATCTATTTACTCCCTCGGCTAAAACCCTAGGGATCCAAAGTTTGGGATATAACGTCTTCAACGATATATTAACCTCGATAAAAAAATAAAAAAATCATATTGTAACTTTTACATACTTCAAAAAAAAAAAAAA